ACACATAATATATATAGTCTACACATAATATATACAGTCTACACATAATATATACAGTCTACACATAATATATACAGTCTACACATAATATATACAGTCCACACGTAATATATACAGTCTACACATAATATATACAGTCTACACATAATATATATAGTCCACACGTAATATATACAGTCTACACATAATATATACAGTCTACACATAATATATACAGTCTACACATAATATATACAGTCCACACGTAATATATACAGTCTACACATAATATATACAGTCCACACATAATATATACAGTCTACACATAATATATACAGTCTACACATAATATATACAGTCTACACATAATATATACAGTCTACACATGATATATACAGTCTACACATAATATATACAGTCTACACATAATATATACAGTCCACACATAATATATACAGTCTACACATAATATATACAGTCTACACATAATATATACAGTCTACACATAATATATACAGTCTACACATGATATATACAGTCTACACTTAATATATACAGTCTACACTTAATATATACAGTCTACACTTAATATATACAGTCTACACTTAATATATACAGTCTACACATAATATATACAGTCTACACATAATATATACAGTCCACACATAATATATACAGTCCACACGTAATATATACAGTCTACAAATAATATAAAGAGTCTACACATAATATATACAGTCTACACATAATATATACAGTCTACACATAATATATACAGTCTACACATAATATATACAGTCCACACGTAATATATACATGTCTACAAATAATTATAAAGAGTCTACACTAATATATACAGTCTACACATAATATATACAGTCTACACATAATATATACAGTCTACACATGATATATACAGTCTACACATAATATATACAGTCTACACATAATAAATACAGTCAACACATAACATATACAGTCTACACATAATATATACAGTTTACATGTAATATGTACAGTCTACACATAATATTTACAGTCTACACATAATATGTACAGTCTACACATAATATATACAGTCTACACATAATATTATACAGTCCACAATAATATATACACGTATACACATAATATAAGAGTTACACATTAATATATACAGTCTGCACATAATATAAAGAGTCTACACATAATATATACAGTCTACATATAATATATACAGTCTACACATAATATATACAGTCCACACATAATATATACAGTCTACACATAATATATACAGTCTACACATAATATATACAGTCCACACGTAATGTATACAGTCTACACATAATATATACAGTCTACACATAATATATACAGTCTACACATAATATATACAGTCTACACATAATATATACAGTCTACATATAATATATACAGTCTACACATAATATATACAGTCTACACATAATATATACAGTCTACACATAATATATACACTCTACACATAATATATACAGTCTACACATAATATATACAGTCTACACATATTATATTCAGTCTACACATAATATATGCAGTCCACACATAATATATACAGTCTACACATAATATATACAGTCTACACATAATATATACAGTCTACACATAATATATACAGTCTACACATAATATATACTGTCTACACATAATATATACAGTCTACACATAATATATACAGTCTACACATAATATATACAGTTACACATAATATATACAGTCTACAATAATATATATGTCTACACATATATATACAGTCTACAATAATATATTACAGTCTACACATAATATTACTGTCTACACATAATATATACAGTCTACAATAATATATACTGTCTACACAAAATATACAGTCTACACATAATATATACAGTCTACACATAATATATACAGTCTACACATAATATATACTGTCTACACATAATATATACTGTCTACACATAATATATACAGTCTACACATAATATATACAGTCTACACATAATATATACTGTCTACACATAATTATACAGTCTACACATAATATATACAGTCTACACATAATATATACTGTCTACACATAATATTACTGTCTACCATAATATATACAGTCTACACATAATATATACAGTCTACACATAATATATACAGTCTACACATAATATATACAGTCTACACATAATATATACAGTCTACACATAATATATACAGTCTACACATAATATATACAGTCCACACATAATATATACAGTCTACACATAATATATTCAGTCTACACGTAATATATACAGTCTACACATAATATATACAGTCTACACATAATATATACAGTCTACACATAATATATACAGTCTACACATAATATATTCAGTCTACACGTAATATATACAGTCTACACATATATTATACAGTCTACACATAATATATACAGTCTACACATTAATATATACAGTCTACACATAATTATACAGTCTACACATAATGTATACAGTCTATACGTAATATGTACAGTCCACACATAATATATACAGTCTACACATAATATATACAGTCTACACATAATATATACAGTCTACACATAATATATACAGGCCACATGTAATATATACAGTCTACACATAATATATACAGGCCACATGTAATATATACAGTCCACACATAATATATACAGTCTACACATAATATATACAGTCCACACATAATATATACAGTCCACATGTAATATATACAGTCTACACATAATATATACAGTCCACACATAATATATACAGTCTACACATAATATATACAGTCCACATGTAATATATACAGTCTACACATATATATACAGTCTACACATAATGTATACAGTCTATACATAATATGTACAGTCCAACATAATATATACAGTCTACACATAATATATACAGTCTACACATAATATATACAGTCTACACATAATATATACAGGCCACATGTAATATACAGTCTACACATAATATATACAGGCCACATGTAATATATAACAGTCACACATAATATATACAGTCTACACATAATATATACAGTCCACATGTAATATATACAGTCTACACATAATATATACAGTCTACACATAATATATACAGTCACACATAATATATACAGTCCACATGTAATATATACAGTCTACACTATATATATATACAGTCCACACATAATATATACAGTCTACACATAATATATACAGTCTACACATAATATATACAGTCTACACATAATATATACAGTCCACATGTAATATATACAGTCCACACATAATATATACAGTCCACACATAATATATACAGTCCACATGTAATATATACAGTCTACACATAATATATACAGTCCACACATAATATATACAGTCTACACATAATATATACAGTCCACATGTAATATATACAGTCTACACATAATATATACAGTCTACACATAATATATACAGTCTACACATAATATATACAGTCTACACATAATATATACAGTCTACACATAATATATACAGTCTACACATATTATATACAGTCCACATGTAATATATACAGTCTACACATAATATATACAGTCTACACATAATATATACAGTCCACATGTAATATATACAGTCTACACATAATATATACAGTCTACACATAATATATACAGTCTACACTAATATATACAGTTACACATAAATATACAGTCTACACATAATATATACAGTCTACACATAATATATACAGTCTTACACATAATATATACAGTCTACACATAATATATACAGTCTACACATAATATATACAGTCTACACATAATATATACAGTCTACACATAATATATACAGTCTACACATAATATATACAGTCTACACATAATATATACAGTCTACACATAATATATACAGTCTACACATAATATATACAGTCTACACATAATATATACAGTCTGCACATAATATATACAGTCTACACATAATATATACAGTCTACACACAATATATCAGTGTCACTGATATAATTTTATCAAATAATTTTAATAACTGTTGTAATAATGACTTAAAGTCCAGAAATATGAGACGATGACTGAAAAGGTGGTCACGAAGGTGGCATATTGTGACCTGGTGACCTGAGAAGGTGGTCACGGTGGTATATTGTGACCTGGTGACCTGAGAAGGTGGGCATGAAGGTGGGATATTGTGACCTTGTGACCTGAGAAGGTGGGCACGAGGGTGGGATATTATTGTGACCTGGTGACCTTAAAGTCACACTTGACTCTGAGATACATCAATATCAGTGTAAACTGTTTGATGTACCACAGTTTTTTCACAGTTATGGTGGAATAATTCTGAACATTGATTGGAAAATTTACCCGCATAATTTCTCACAATAATAATAATAATAGTATTAACAATTATAATAATATCAATAATAATAATATTATCAATAATAATAATAGCATTAACAATAATAGTAATATCAATAACAATAATAGCATTAACAAAAATAATAATAATAATAGCATTAACAGTAATAATAATAACATCAACATTAGCATTAACAATAACAATAATAGCAGTTATAATAAGACTAGCAGTTAGGCTGACCTAGGCAGCAGGTACAGGTGGAGCCCAGGCAAGGTATGTTGGAGACGAGTCCAGGACAGGACTGAGAACAGCGACCTAGACAGGCTGGGGTGTTAGGACAACCCTTCATCTCAGCTACACAACAAAAGCAGCCGCCACCACAGTGGTCAGGAACCATCTGTTCTGTGAATGTACACCTTGCCTTGCACGTACCTCCCAGCGTCCGACACTTGTTCGTCGAAGTACAGTCTGTCGAAAACAAAGTTTGGGAAAATATTTTTACATCGGAATATCGTCATAGACCAGAGGATCTATAATCCTGTTCTTAATTAGTTATCAGTCCATCGTTGACTGTACAGAAGCTCTATCAGGATCTAGCTGCAGAAGTTTTAACTCTTCCAAAGAAGTGAACCCATAGTGGGCTTGTCAGCACAGGACAAAGGAGGCTTGTGTTGCTTGTTAACAGTGATTGCCAGAGTGGGCACAACACAAGTTCCCACAAGTACACTCAGAGAACACAGTATTAGTACACTCAGAGAACACAGTATTAGTACACTCAGAGAACACAGTATTAGTATACTCAGAGAACACAGTATTAGTACATTCAGAGAACACAGTATTAGTATACTCAGAGAACACAGTATTAGTACATTCAGAGAACACAGTATTAGTATACTCAGAGAACACAGTATTAGTACACTCAGAGAACACAGTATTAGTACACTCAGAGAACACAGTATTAGTACATTCAGAGAACACAGTATTAGTACACTCAGAGAACACAGTATTAGTACATTCAGAGAACAGTATTAGTACACTCAGAGGAACACAGTATTAGTACACTCAGAGAACACAGTATTAGTACACTCAGAGAACACAGTATTAGTACACTCAGAGAACACAGTATTAGTACACTCAGAGAACACAGTATTAGTACACTCAGAGAACACAGTATTAGTACACTCAGAGAACACACAGTATTAGTACACTCAGAGAACACAGTATTAGTACACTCAGAGAACACAGTATTAGTACATTCAGAGAACACAGTATTAGTACACTCAGAGAACACAGTATTAGTACACTCAGAGAACACAGTATTAGTACACTCAGAGAACAGTATTAGTACACTCAGAGAACAGCATTAGTACACTCAGAGAACAGCATTAGTACACTCAGAGAACAGCATTAGTACACTCAGAGAACAGCATTAGTACACTCAGAGAACAGCATTAGTACACTCAGAGAACAGCATTAGTACACTCAGAGAACAGTATTAGTACTTTCAGAGAACAGTATTAGTACACTCAGAGAAGGGTATTAGTACACTCAGAGATCAGTATTAGCAGACTCACCTGCGGCAGGTAGGCAGCATCTACAACCACCTTGACATCCTGTGCCAGCATCACTCTCCTGCCCGGAACAAGAAGACTTGCAGGTTCCTCCTCGCTTCTTACACTTCTTTACAGGTTTACAGCTGCCTTTTTCTGCTGGTACAAATACCAGCCGTTATGTTAAATAATAATGATTCATTCATAGACACGAGAACTAAAATGACTAACATATGAAGTAGGTAGACACAGTGAAAGCCAACAATCAATATGAATTGCTAATTACATTAGTAGTGGTAATAGTTGCAGTATGAACAACAGTAGCAGTTAATTGTGAATAGTAGTAGATGTAATCGTAATAGTGGCAGTAGAATTTCACCTCAGATTCAGTTCAGATTTTATTACTACGTGATACACTGTTGGACAGAGATGGATAACGTTTGATGATGCTGTGGGAAGCTTGTGGTTATGCTGAGTATTTCGGGCAAGATTAAGCCTAACTTTAGACTACGAGGGCAATAAACATTGTGTGTGTGTGTGTGTGTGTGTGTGTGTGTGTGTGTGTGTGTGTGTGTGTGTGTGTTCACCTAATTGTGGTTGCAGGGGTCTATTCACAGCTCCTGGCCCCGCCTCTTCATTGGTCGCCAGTAGGTCCACTCTCTCCCTGTTCCATGAGCAGGGTGTGTATGTGTGTGTATAATGACGAATGTAAACTCAGTAATACATAAATAACCAGAGCATAGAAGAGAGAAGCTTATGAGACGTTTCGGTCCGACTTGAACCATTTACAAATCACAGTGTGACTTGTTAATGGTCAGATCGGACCGATACGTCGTCATAAGTTTATTTCTCCCATGTGCGTGTTATTTGTGTATTGTTTCAGTCACGGTATTGTGCCTTTTTGTCCTTTATTCTCAATAAAACAGAGAACTTTCACGGCGCGCATAACGGAGATAAAACACCTCAATTACTGGGAGCGCTTGAGGTTTCTAAACCTGTATTCCCTGGAACGCGGGAAAGGGAGGATACATGATTATATACACCTGGAAAATCCTAGAGGGACTAGTACCGAACTTGCACACGAAAATCACTCACTACGAAAGCAAAAGACTTGGCAGACGATGCACCATCCCCCCAATGAAAAGCAGGGGTGTCACTAGCACGTTAAGAGACCATACAATAAGTGTCAGGGGCCCGAGACTGTTCAACTGCCTCCCAGCACACATAAGGGGGATTACCAACAGACCCCTGGCAGTCTTCAAGCTAGCACTGGACAAGCACCTAAAGTCAGTTCCGGATCAGCCGGGCTGTGGCTCGTACGTTGGTTTGCGTGCAGCCAGCAACAACAGCCTGGTTGATCAGGGGCTGATCCACCAGGAGGCCTGGTCACAGACCGGGCCGCGGGGGCGTTGACCCCCGAAACTCTCTCCAGGTAAACTCCAGGTAATATAATGATTGTATATGTATTATGAAGGTTAATGGCTTTACTTTGCATTTTTAAATATCCCTTAGTGTTAGTATTAAGCAATAAGCAGGAAAAAAAATCTAAAATTTCGTAAAATTATGTCGGCTGAATGTTTTTTGGTAGTGATGTGGCCAGGGCGTCACAGGTAAAGCTGAGAGAACAGCAGCCATCATGCCGGAGGTGGCAAGCTGTGGGGGTTATTTTGAGGCGCTAACCTCTCATATGGGTGGTATTTGGTGTTTATTTTGAGGTTAACAGAGGTCGTAAAGTGTACCTCGCCTTTTGTATATAGTTCTACTGTTTTCCCATTATACCCTTGAATCTGCATTGATAAAACCACTGGATGGCAAAACGTCTAGAAATAGATACCCAGATGTTGGACAGGTGCCTTAATTCTTCATCTTGTCGGTACTGATGTTAAAGATATTACACACCTGAGTTGTCACCTGTGGAGCAGCAGCGACAACCTTTGCCTTTACAACCCTTACGAACTTCTTTCTCGCCTCTTTCACAAGACTTCTTGCACGCTCCTCTTTCCTTCTTGCACTTAGACAGGAGCCGGCATCCTACACACATGAAATTATATCAAGAATTCAAAATATGTTAAATTACGAGTAATATTTACAAACCTCTTTATTTGGATTAATTGTGTGTAACGCAGTTCCCTTCTATACAAAAATATACAAAGGTATAAAATGATATGCAAAGGTGTACATAGGAATTGAAACAGTAACACACTATACAGTACGTACAAGAAACAGCTTGTTTTTCTTAATTAAATGTTTACCCGTGTGATTCATTGCAAATTCCTGATACACATATCCCTTTCCCTTTTCATAAACCACACTGTTCTTCTGCATTCATTCTGTCTCTTTCCAGTCAGTGTATCAGTGGCAGCACAGCCGTACACTTGTCTGGTACATTCAGAAACATATTCTCCCCCTTAATCATTTCTTTCCCTCATAACTTAATAATAATAATAATAACAACAACAACAATAATAATAATAATAATAATAATAATAATAATAATATAATAATAATAATATAATAATAATAATAATAATAATAATAATAATAATAATAATAATAATAATAATCTTTATTTCTACCAGTACATATACAAGGTATACAGACCATAGCTGACATCAATAATATACTACTATATAGAAAGCCACTTGTTATGCAGAGCGTTCCCCGCAAATTAGGTCAATTTTGTGCCCAGGATGCGACCCACACCAGTCCACTAACACCCAGGTACCTATTTTGCCTTGCAGAAACACATCCTAATGTTTCCGTCAGTACCAGGGATCGACCCCCGAACCTCAGTTTGTGAGCTGTGTATGCTACCAATCGACGTCTGAGACTTCATTCTCGATATATATGTTGAGAGGGTTCGTGGAGATATAATGGTTGGAGTTAAATACACTTGTTGGATGGTAACACATATATTAGCAGAGTGTGAGAAAGGGGGCCCAGCCTCTGCCCTGTTGCCTGTTGTAGACCTAAGCGTGGAGTGAGAAAGAGGCAGAGCGCCCAACGCTCACATGCGGCATCACGTGACGTCACACATGCTAGCCACTGAGCCTAGCAAGAGGTCAACTATGTAAAACATATGGATGGTACTATGATCAGCAACTATGCTGACATATAGAAACATAGTGTCTGCCTATACACTTTTCCTTCTTACATAGACACTAAACAAACCCACCATCCATTACAACTATTTATCTTCATTTATTTGCAGTCTTTTGATTTTATTTCCATTTATCACCTGTGTGTTTCCCACTTTCATTCGACTTGACTCACGAAATCGTAATGACACGATTGAAAAACAAAAAACCATACCATGGGTGGGGTTAGAACCCGCGATTAAAGAGTCACAAAACTCCACCCTAAACATTCTCTCATTTAGCTACTGGCAACCATTGTTAAATAATCTGGAGAAACATTAGAAAGACACGCTAGCATAAAATCCTAAGCCTCTGCCTTAAATTAAGATAAGAGATAAGATAAGATTTCGTTCGGATTTTTAACCCCGGAGGGTTAGCCACCCAGGATAACCCAAGAAAGTCAGTGTGTCATCGAGGACTGTCTAACTTATTTCCATTGGGGTCCTTAATCTTGTCCCCCAGGATGCGACCCACACCAGTCGACTAACACCCAGGTACCTATTTGCTGCTAGGTGAACAGGACAACAGGTGTAAGGAAACGTGTCGAAATGTTTCCACCCGCCGGGAATCGAACCCGGGCCCTCCGTGTGTGAAGCGGGAGCTTTAGCCACCGGGCCACCGGGCCACACAATTATTCTGTATGTTCCTGAAGACATTATTTCCAAAGAATCTTTAGTGGTATTCACATAAAAGGCACTCTTCAAGCGGTCCTTTTAAGCAAATGATGCTGAAAAAAATGTATAAGTCATTCCATATATAATACTGGTTAAGGTAGGCAAGAATTAATTAGTAGTAAGAAGCTCACCTTTAGTTTTCTTCGGTGCTTTTAATCTTGTATGATCGTCTTGATGCTTCTTGTTCTTCTTTGGGAAGTTATTATCATTATCATTATCTTCATTCATTATCATCATCATCATCATCATCATCATCATCATCATGAGCAATAACGCCCTCGTGATGTTTTTTCACTTGGTTTCGCTTCATCTCGTCAATTAAGTTGTTTTTATTATTGTTTTGCTCACTGAGGCTCAAGTTTTTTGAATATTTATTGAGCTTTACTTTAGACTGTTTTCCTTTGCGATTTTTCTTGGGCATTCCCTTAGATTTTTTCCCTTTAGGATCTTTCTTCTTTTTAGTCTGTTTTTCTTTACGATATTTCTTGGGATTTCCTTTGAACTTCTTTTCTTCATGATTTCCTGCGTGTTTTCTACCTGGGTGATTTACGTCAGCGTTTTCATGGGTAGTTTTCCGAATATTTCTCCCACGGTCTCTAATTTTTCCTGAACCTTTCTTTCTTCCTCTTTTGTTCTGCCGTGTTAGATACTTAGTCTTTTTTATCCTGGTAGACGATATTTTACCAGACGGTGGTCGTGATTCTCCTCTCTTACGAGACAGTGGTCGTGACTCTCCTTTCCTACGAGATGGTGGCTGTGACTCTCCTCTCTTACGAGACAGTGGTCGTGACTCTCCTCTCTTACGAGACAGTGGTCGTGACTCTCCTCTCTTACGAGACAGTGGTCGTGACTCTCCTCTCTTACGAGACAGTGGTCGTGACTCTCCTCTCTTACGAGACAGTGGTCGTAACTCTCCTCTCTTACGAGACAGTGGTCGTAACTCTCCTCTCTTACGAGACAGTGGTCGTAACTCTCCTCTCTTACGAGACAGTGGTCGTGACTCTCCTTTCTTGCGACACGGTAGTCGTGACTCTTGACTCTCACCATCGTCTTGGGTATCTCTCTTCACTATTACTTTCGGATACAGCTGCTCCACAGCCTTGACCAGCGAGGCTTCCTGAGTCCGGTTCATCCCTTCGGTCGACGACTCTGCTGGAAACACAATACATTATGTAACAAGAAATGACATTAATAATAGAAAGTATATTACGTTGAGTTCTATAAAGATCAGAATAATAGTGAAAGAATTAAACATCTATATTTCTTGAAACAGAATACGACTTCGAGTGATATATGGTGAATATATTATAATGAGATAGAAACATAAGTCTCGTGTCATAGAAATATAGCCGCAGTAAGCAAATAACATTCTTAAGACCCCTGACCTCTGGTTAATTTAGCAGTTTCACATATTTAACATCCACTGTAAAGCCAGTGTAACTAATAAAATAGTGAAATGTAAGAAGCAATTTAAAGACCCCGCCTTATTTCTTTGTTATATTTTGGGGAAAAGTATTAATTTTCAGCCTGCGTGAGCTGGTGAGGGGCTCTTGATCTAGGGAACTGGATCTGTGCTCCAGTTCCCCTAATTAAGCCTGAATACCTTCCACATCCCCCCACAGGCGCTGTATAATTCTACGGGTTTAGCGCTTCCCCTGAATTATAATAATAATGAGCTCCAATTCCCTGAATTAAGCTTGAATGCCTTCCCCCCCCCCGCCCCCGCCCCCACAGGCACTGCATTTTCCCTACGGATTTTGACCTCCCATATAATAATTAAATAATAATAATAATAATAATAATAATAATAATAATAATAATAATAATAATAATAATAATAATAATAATAATAATAATGAGCCCCTGGTCATATTCAGGACCCCTTGCCCTAATAAACTATAGCAGATGCCAGCTTGTTAGAAAGAAAATTTTTAAATTCTTATCCAGGCTTCCTGTTATTCTGACGACTGTACTTTCTTCTCCTCAAGTTGATTTTAAAGTCCGTCGACTACACGACTTCACCAGTCAAAGATTTTTTAATATTTAATATAGGGATTAACATAAACGTTATGTACCACTTAGAGAGTATAGACAATGTTCCTCCCAGGGCATTTACATCAAGTGAAATATACTCGTCAGAATATATACCAACTGATTACTCCTCCAAATACATCCAGCGGATCATGCAAACCAGATAGGAGACATCAAGTTACTTACGTAGGCAGCAGTAGGTATCCAGGGAACAGTAGACGTTAAGGATGGAAGTGCAGTGTTCAATCTGCCTCTCCACACACCTCCCTCCAGCGCTCTCACACACGCCCATCTCTTCCTGGAAAGTGGATCATAAGGATACTAATCTCTCTTCCTCTCTCACTCACCCACTATCTATCTATCTCTCTATCTATCCATATATATATATATATATATATATATATATATATATATATATATATAGAGAGAGAGAGAGAGAGAGAGAGAGAGAGAGAGAGAGAGAGAGAGAGAGAGAGAGAGAGAGAGAGAGAGAGAGAGAGAGAGAGAGAGAGAGAGAGAGAGAGAGAGAAGAGAAGAGAGAAGAGAAGAGAAGAGAGAGAGAGAGAAGAGAAGAGAAGAGAGAGAGAGAGAAATACTGAAAAATGGTGAACTTTAAAGCCCTTTCGTGATTTCACACATTCTCAAGAAACTGTGAAAATACAAGAAGACGAGATGGCTTATAATGCTGAGATATCACCTGATGATCACATCCGACATGGGATGCTCAAGCACTTGTCAAACGTAGTTTAAATTCTTCCCAAATTTTATTAATTATAAATGAATCTAGTTTGTATAATCCTAAACAAATATTCGTATTAACAATAAACATTTTTTACAAGGAATCTTCTAGACACACTCCTCAGCGTTTTTTGGGAATTTTTAGTCAGATTTTTTTTATTGTATCAAGAGGTGTATCAAGAAGGTTTTCATGGTAAGGGAGAATCAATATATTCTTAGTTGAATAAGAATGTTTGTCCATTTTTTTGAATTGTCAAATGAATTTCCAGCAATTTTAAAGAATGTATCAATTATTTTGGGTATTTTAGATCATTAGCTACATCAAAAAACTTGAAGACAATGATGGAACACAAAGTGATCCTTTAAGCTGTTATGTCCTTGTATTGTTTTGATAAAGTCAATAGACTACCGAACATTTACAAAATAACCAACAAACCAACATCGATAAAAAGTCAAAAATCTCTTTCTTCCACTCTTCAACTCAAAATATAAAAAAAGATACAATATTTAGACTTTATTGTCACTAAAGTATTTATTTTGTTTTTTATAAGGTTTGAGTTTTACATCTAAGACACCTTTTTTTAATCAATTATAATAACTGTTTTTATTTTTTAAATTTTATTTGCAACCAGATTAAAAACTTTCAACAATTCTTATAAGCTATCATTAGTTTTCTACTGAAAATAGGGAGTTTTGAGAATCTCTGACCGCGAGTTCAATCCCGCCCGTGGTATGGTTTAAGTCAGCTAAATTTTGTGTTTGTCTCCAACAGTATCACTGCAGAGTGCAGTGATAATATATGCTGTGGGAGGTAATACTGTCGAACAGGTGTTGCTTTGTGTTGCGGTGTGAATATTGCGTGGGTAGTAATTTTGGAGTGTTATGCATGTACTCTGAAGAGTACTGTGTGTGACGCTGTGAGTTATTCCGTATGGCACTTCGTGGTTATTTTCAACTTCGTACGACTCAGTTACCTCTGCCCACCATCTAGTTTAATAAACTCCCTTCACTAAATCTTCCGTGACCTTCTACCAGACATCAACATCTTCGTTACCATCAACACAACTTCGTGTACAAGTATCACACGCTGCAGAACAATCTCTTATTGGGAAAACGCTTCTCTCTGTCAAGGTCGATCAAGATCCACTCAGAGCGAAACGTTGCCCTAATGAAGTTTGCTCTACAATATGTCTGTTCCTCACTAATATTGGCAGTAAGATATTTGAAAACAAGAAAGGGTGTAGCTGGTGTAGCTACCTGGGATGAGCAGCCAAACTCCTAAGACGCTGTGACTGCACACACACAAGGAGCAGTAATCTGTAACCTTCATGATGACAGAAATTGCTAGTGTTCCCTGGGGATCCGGCGCCTGGACAACAGGATGTTTCCTGCGGAGAGATGGAGGTGGAGCCAGCTCACAGGTGTATCCTTGAGTGCACCTGGGAGGAGGACAATAGACCCACCTGAGTGTAGTCTGTAATACCTGCTACTGCTTCTTTGTCATCCGAAAAAATAAGTAAGGAGGCAGATCGGGCAGTCTTCTATGTGAAATTCACTCTCTCTGTAATGTATCGTTATTTTTAATCAATCACGATGATCCTCCTCAAAATAACACTTAATCTCCTTGTAGTTATCTGCATCATGAAACTGATAACCAAAGTTCATTGACATATACAAAAAAAAATCTGCCTAATTATATTAAATAAACCTTAAAAACTTCTACCTACATTCATTATACACAAATTTGTACTTTACTGACTAATAGATCTTTTCCTGCAATATTTCCTTTTAATTAAAGGAGGATCGAACAGCGGGACTGATACTCACCGTAATAACTAACATATAACACACATGATGTTTGTACATCTTACAAAAACGATGTATCAGTAATCTAGCGGATGTCTCTACCACAAAAATTCAGATGTTCTCACCTGTGCATATAAATAAAATCATCTTCAACTTTTTTTTCACAAATCAGTTTTACAGGCTAAGAGCTGTTATCCTGCCTCTGCTGTTATCCTGCCTCTGCTATTATCCTGCTTCTACTATTATCCTGCCTCTGCTCTTATCCTGCCTCTGTTGTTATCCTGCCTCTGCTATTATCCTGCTTCTACTATTATCCTGCCTTTGCTCTTATCCTGCCTCTGCTCTTATCCTGCCTCTGCTGTTATCCTGCCTCTACTGTTATCCTGCCTCTACTGTTATCCTGCCTCTGCTCTTATCCTGCCTCTGCTATTATCCTGCTTCTACTATTATCCTACCTCTGCTCTTATCCTGCCTCTGCTGTTATCCTGCCTCTACTGTTATCCTGCCTCTGCTGTTATCCTGCCTCTTCTGTTATCCTGCCTCTACTGTTATCCTGCCTCTGCTGTTATCCTGCCTCTGCTGTTATTCTGCCTCTGCTGCTATCCTGCCTCTAATGTTATCCTGCCTCTGCTGTTATCCTGCTTCTGCTGTTATCCTGCCTCTGCTGTTATCCTGCCTCTACTGTTTTCCTGCTTTTGCTGTTATCCTGCCTCTGCTGTTATCCTGCCTCTACTGTTATCCTGCCTCTGCTGTTATCCTGCCTCTGCTGTTATCCTGCTTCTACTATTATCCTGCTCTGTGCTATCCTGCCTCTGTGTTATCCTGCCTCTGCTGTTATCCTGCCTCTGCTGTTATCCTGCTTCTACTATTATCCTGCCTCTGCTCTTATCCTGCCTCTGCTGTTATCCTGCCTCTGCCGTTATCCTGCCTCTACTATTATCCTGCCTCTGCTGTTATCCTGCCTCTGCTATTATCCTGCTTCTACTATTATCCTGCCTCTGCTGTTATCCTGCCTCTGCTGTTATTCTGCCTCTTCTGTTATCCTGCTTCTACTTTATCCTGCCTCTGCTCTTATCCTGCCTCTGCTGTTATCCGCCTCTTCTGTTATCCTGCTCTGACTGTTATCCTGCCTCTCTTATCCTGCCTCTGCTGTTATCCTGCCTCTACTGTTATCCTGCCTCTACTGTTATCCTGCCTCTGCTGTTTTCATGCCTCTACTGTTATCCTGCCTCTGCTGTTATTCTACCTCTGTTGTTATCCTGCCTCTACTGTTATCCTGCCTCTGCTATTATCCTGCTTCTACTGTTATCCTGCCTCTGCTCTTATCCTGCCTCTGCTGTTATCCTGCCTCTACTGTTATCCTGCCTCTACTGTTATCCTGCCTCTGCTGTTTTCATGCCTCTACTGTTATCCTGCCTCTGCTGTTATCCTGCTTCTACTTTATCCTGCCTCTGCTCTTATCCTGCCTCTGCTCTTATCTGCCTCTGCTCTTATCCTGCCTCTGCTCTTATCCTGCCTTGCCGTTATCCTGCTTCACTTTATCCTGCCTCTGCTGTATCCTGCCTATGCTTTATCCTGCTCTACTATTATCCTGCCTCTGCTGTTATCCTGCCTCTGACTGTTATCCTGCCTCTGCTATTATCCTGCTTCTACTATTATCCTGCCTCTGCTCTTATCCTGCCTCTGCTGTTATCCTGCCTCTACTGTTATCCTGCCTCTGCTGTTATCCTGCCTCTGCTGTTATCCTGCCTCTACTTTTATCCTGCCTCTGCTGTTATCCTACCTCTGTTGTTATCCTGCCTATGCGGTTATCCTGCCTATGCGGTTATCCTGCCTCTGTTATTATCCTGCCTATGCTGTTATCCTACCTCAGCTGTTATCCTACCTCAGCTGTTATCCTACCTCAGCTCACTGCAAAGCCCAGCACTGTCTAAGGTATACTGCCACCCCAGGATGCCACCCACACCAGTCGACTAACACCCAGGTACCTACTTACTGCTAGATGAACAGAGACAACAGGTGTAATAAGAAATAATGAAAAATAATAATAATCTTTATCTACTAGTACATGTACAAGGTGTACAGACCATAGCTGACATCAATTACATACTACTATATATAAAGCCCCTTGTTATGCAGAGTATTTCCCGCAAATTAGGTCAGTTTTGTCCCCAGAATGCGACCCACACTAATCGATTAACACCCAAATATCTATTTTACAACCAGTTGAACAGGTACAGCGTTCTAAGGTTCACGTGGCTGGAGTTAACGCCTAGCTAGCGTGAGTACACGTGAGGGCCTAAGGGTTCGGATTCCCACAGAGTAGAACATTGGAACGTGTTCTCCACCTGTTGTCTATGTTCCCATCAGTAAAATGGGCTACCTGGGTCGTTAGTCGACTGGTGTGTCCATCCACATTTGGACACAGACCTAAGGAGGCCATGGTCACAGACCTGCCCGGGGCGTTGACCCTGGACTCTCTCAGGTAATCCAGGAATAATCTACCTGAGATCGTACGGACACTCAGTGTGTGGTGAGTGACTACCACTAGTTACCGGACACAAAAACCTCTGGAATATTCTCAGCTTAACAAGGTCAACAGTGACACAGAGGGAAGGTCTGAAAATAAAAACTTGCTCTGGAATACTTAGTCTTCAAAGTGATAATATAGGAAACAAACATTTCGCTAAACTACTGCTACCTGAGACAATTAAATAAGGTGAGTGCTGAGTTGGATACTCGACATAACTAGAGGATC